AATGATTCTGTTTTCAGATGATTAAGGAATATCCCATAGAGATGGATACCTTACATGGAGTCAACTTCATGTTCACCGATAACATAGAATTTATAATAGCCATGGTTTTTATATGCATATATGCTGTCTTCTATTTATCTGTCGCAAGTATCTGTGGAGTAGTCTTGTACATGAGCATCAGGGATCAGGGAAAGTCGACGAATGAAGTCTACAACGAGTGTGGTAGTATGTGTGAGCCTCAATGTAACATGATCCTCGGAGTAGTTGTGGTAAGGAGTTTGAGATGTGCTAAGCATATGCAATTCACTCTTCAGAGACCTCAAGGATGCATCGCAGTGTGCAGGGCAGGATGCGAATGCGCCGCTGGACATGTCAGAATCAACGGGGTCTGCATATCAGAAACCATCTGTAGAAGATACTTTTGAAAATTGTACAAAGTCTTTCTAATAAACTCATTTCTTTCCGCTCTTTAACCATCCAAGTGATTGAGACACTGGGTATGCCCATACAAGGGGGTCACTTGTAGTTAGAGATTTGTATTCTAATCAGGGCGGGAAAATTCTGTTTTTCAATCATTTGGCCCGTTTAGCGGCTGGAGTGAGGTTGTGTGATCTTGTGTTCATGTTTAAAAAAGTTTACAATTTTAATTTTCAATAGTTGGAGATAGCTTGAAGTTCTCATTTCGCTCTGGTTTTCCTCATCGTTCTCCCATTCATACTTCTTCGTCCGATTTTGAGAAGGACTAATAAGATAGTTGGAATGCAACCGTTCGTTACGATTAGCTTAGAATGCAACTGTTCTGAAACGGAGTGGAGCTCACCGGCTCACACCGCCAACTGAGCTGATTGAGAAGCATCACGGCTTATGTATCTCCGCAAAAATGCGTCACGTGGAAATAATTTTTACGTGAAAAATAAAATGATCCGGTCGTTCTTTTTTGGGAAAATGCTGTAACTTCTCTGAAACTTAATCAAATTGAATGTTTCTTGGGTCGATTCACATCAGAATTTGATTTTACAATCGAATATAACGTTCATTCTCTGCTTTCATGATTAATTATCATCGAAAACTGGTTAAATTCAAAAAATTTCGAAAAACTCGAAAAAAAAATTTTGTGATTCTACCGATTTGAACTTAGTTTTGCTCAACTTATGCATTCTAACGTTGTAGAGAGGAGGCAGTGTGTGAGATACTCCATACTCTGAGCTCCAATTGCCAAAAGGCAGTTCACGTATAAAAATTTATGAAAACGACGGGTGGGTGTCAGTCTTCTGGACCAAGTGTTGCACGTTACCGTATTCTACGAAACTTGCCGTCTCACCAAAAACGTTGGTATCAAAATAGTTGATGAGGAATTTTTTCCAAGGAAAAGATGCTCACTCATTTCAATTTTCCCTCTCCTCCATCAATCGTGCAACAGTCACTCATCTGTGATTTCTGAATGGCGCAAAGCAACCGATTGTTACTTCGTTTACTGTTTTCAGCTATTGTACTGGTAAGATGTAGCAGTACGCTTCAACACTCGAATGTTGTGAACAAATACAAATTATTATTTTCGTTCATACATGAACGACCAAATCATTCTCGACAGCTCCCTCTTGCTCCACTAACAAGTAGACTGATTTCACGTACCTCTGATGTCTCTCTATGTGATAATCATGTACTGTTTATCACTTATTGGGTTTTTCATTATTTTCTTCTCTTTCTCCCTTCTTATCTTTGTTCCAACCAAGCTGAACAACTTCACCCGCTTTGTGATTCATGGACATGACTTGACGTGAGTTCTTAATTTCAATTTTTCATGGTATCTTTTGAAGATATGCCTTAACGCAGCTTTATACTACTTTGGGGGTTACACCGACTCTCGTTTTCCCATGTGTATCTGGCTACGTGGACGGCTTCATGTCTGAATCCGGAATCAGACCTTTGGATCAAATGAATATTCAAATAACATTGATGACTAGTAGCCACCTGATGAGGTTATATGACATGACATTCATTCATTCCAGTCAGTAAATCCTTCACTCTCCTTCTCACCATCAATCGAGCGTTTGCAATCAATACATGGATGAAGAAACATAAGAACCTCATTCTGATCATATTCTTCGTTCAGCTAATTGGCCAAGTTGTTTTTTCGTTGATTAATGGCTTCAACACGAGAGACGGTGGAAAAGAAGCTCGGCAGGCTTGTCTCGAGGTTTGGACCTTTCTCATTCGTTGAAACAGTTCTTTCAGATAATCACATATGAATATCCCAAAGAGATGTATACTAACCGAGGATTTGATATATCGCTCCAAGATGAGAACGGCCTGTTCACCGCTATATATACGGGACTAACTACTGCGCTTAATACGATTATTGCAGTTGTCTGTGTTTCTATCCTCGTTCAGAGCATCAGAGAGCAGGCAAAGTCATCGCAGTCTACTCAGTTCTTAGCCAACCAACGTAGAATCACATCTGGGATTCTCTGCTTCGTAAGCTTCTTCTCTCGTACTGAGACCAATGCTCTTCAGATGGTTATCGAGATAGTTGGATTGGGCATTCCTTTCATAGTTATCAGTGCATGTTCTGGTCTCAGGGTGGGAAATACGGGTAAAGCTTCACCTAGACACCGAATTACAAATTCGTACATCTCAGTCGTCTCTCAATTAGCCTTCATCGCTATGTGCATTTATCCTATATTTGGTCCATACTTTGTTCTGATGTCCAACACAGATTACAGGAACAGAGTGAAAGGGATTCTTAAGAGAGGTTGGTTCATGGAGCTCGTTCTATTCTCGCTGCTTCACTACTCGATGTCTATGACAACCTGATATGTTACTTTTTTCAGCTCAAGAATTAGGAACTAGTCACTTGAGTAATTGAACCTCTTTTCTCCTGGTAGGATAATTCATGTAGCCAATTTATGTTCTTCCTTCTCAGAAGTTCCCCATTCCGTAGTTCTAATTCTTCTCCTGCTATGACAATGTCATCTCAGTTGTCTCTTCTTGAGTTTGAGCATTTGATGTTTTTATTAAGTACAGACAGATTCATACTGTCTTTCGGGTTTTGCCGTGGTTCAGAGCATAGATGAAGAGATAACCTTCAATCCTTACTGGCATGCGTGTCTTGTTGTGTTTTAGAGGAGATGCATCACGGTTTGTTAAGCAGAAGCTCTTCCAATCTACTTCCCTTTGTTATTCTATATGAATCAAAGAACACTGATCAGACATTCTTCTGATCATCTCTTTGCATACTCGACTTCAAATACTGAACCATCTTTTTCAAACTTCTTAATATACTTGTTAGGATTAAGAGAGTACCTTTGATCCTTTCATGAAATGAAAAGATGTGGAAGACCTCTTTCATCCACTCATAGGTATACTCCAATTCTTCTCCATAACTACAACCTTATAGTCTGATTCATAGAATACGCCGCACTGAAGAACGCTGACATTGTCTTCGCGATGTTGTGTTCTCCTCTTATCACACAACTCTTCCGGAAGACACACAATTTCATTTTTTTTCACCATTTCTGGTACTCATAACAAGGTTATCTCGTCCAAAAAGTTGTATTGCCCTCGTACTTCTGTAAAGTTTACCTCCTAAGCAGTGGTTGTTACCAAGTTTGGATGAATGTTTTCGTTGTTTCTTACAATGCCTTTATCGGAATGACTTGTATTTAAAGAGGAAAACCTCAGAGGTGTTACCCTCAACTCGATTTGTGAACGAAAATGAAATCTGCTGTATTGGTGAGTTGGGGAGCAGTCAAGAATGGTTTGGCCGTTCGTGTGTAAACGAAAATAATTATTTGTATTTGTTTCTAACATTTGAATGTTGCAAGGTGTGGCTACAACAGGCTTCTGATGAAACTGATATGCAAATTATCAGAAGGTTTGCAAGAAATTCAGAATACACTGATGATTGAAGCGTTTCACATTCAAGGAAGAATATGAATATCAAACTATAAAGAACGGAGATAGCGCGACACACTGAGCTCTTCCGGAATCAGGAGGCAGTCTTGCTACCGTTAAACGGTAGTGTTGGATCATGTACGTATGTTCTGGACAAATAGCATTATAGCACTCTTTCGTTATCGTAATTTGATGCGTTGAGAAATTGATAAAGCACTATTTGGAAGTGGTAGTAGTCTCTATACTTCATCCCACCCTCCCATCCTATATACACATCCCCTTTTGAAGTTCTTTAACTTTTCAACCAAGTATGTTTCTGATCAGAATTGATACGAGTTTTGTAACACTGCTCTCTGCAAGAAACCTGTGGAAGGGTTTGGGAGTTACTCTCATTTGTCAGTAAAATAACCGTAATGATCGTTCCGGTGTGTACTTTGTATTGTAGAGATAGCGGGGAAGACTAAACAAGTCGTCCAGTGTGCGCCAGAACTGTTGTGAGAGAAGGTTGCAATGGTATCATGTGCTCAGTTCTTTCACTTATTAGAAATTTCAGATTAGATTGTGAGTGTCGTTGACATAGTTGGTAGAGTTAGTATAGTCAGTATACTCACAATAATTAAAATATGCGGAATAGTTAGGATAGTTAGGATAGTGAAGATGGGTGACTTGTTGTGAATGAGTGTTTATGTAGTTTAGTTAGTGAAGTTAGAAATCATTATTATGGTAGTTGGCATACTATTGAGAATGGCTTATAGTTAGTATGTTTAGTGAGCACAGTTCAAGTCAGTTGTGTTGAATTCGTTTTTCAATGAAGATTACCTCCTCTCCTCAGCTACAGAGAGCTGTACTTACTGTTTACTGATTTCATTGAGTATGTTCACATTCATTCATCCATTCTAATGAGAGAATATAGCCACACTCATCTCTTCTTGCAGTTCAGAACTTTGTTGCTCTGAAGAGAGATGCGTATTGAGTGTTTTATATGTTTCTTCATTACCATGAAATGGTTTGTCTTGCTATTCTTAATTGAACATTAACGTTGAGTGAGCATAATGGCATCTCATATAGTTAGCAAAGCTTGAGTCTGCAATAGTCTAATGTAATGGAGTAGGATAGTTAGGTCTGTTATTATAGGTAGAATGGCTGGTAGAGCAGCTTCTGCCATGATTAGAGGACCACTTGTGCTTAGACTTTCTCAGAGTTATCTGTGGCTGACGCCCTTGCATACCCTTGCAGTATCCCACCTCTTGATTGACTGATCATGAATAGTTTCCATCGTTGTTTCTCATTTACTTATGGTTTCCTTACTCCGTCTTATACTCCTGACCAATCATTCGTTCAACTTTTGTCATTCCTTCTTCTCCTTTTCCCTTCTTCTCTTGTTGAGTTCGTGTTCTTATTCGCTTGTTATTTGAAATCCATTATAACGAAAAGATTGATCTGTTTATGGAAATATATTGCTTTTTCCTCGCAATTTTACAAACGGTGGAATTCAGAGTTACGTAATGAAGAAAAACAATTTTTTCGAGTT